GAAACTGTAGTTTACTTCCTTTTAAATTTTCTAATCTGTAGTCAGAGAGACTGATTTTTTTTCCGTTCTATGTATCAGCAAAACTTTCAGATGAAATGAGAATAGCAAGAAATTAGAATAGCAGGAAATATTGTTCGAGTTTTCCCCCCCCCACAGTAAACTATTCTAGAAAATAGAACAGTTTCAAAAAAAGTTCTCAAAAAGCTGTTATTCCTTAGCAATTTGAAACAAGTTTCTTGGGGAGGGGTACTGACACTGGTATCACATACAAATATGTGCTTCTTAGGCCCATTCTCCAGAACAGCTTCTTTTACTGTCTTGGCAATGACATTATTTTTTCTCTTTGTGTATTGCTTTATGTTATTTATCACAATGTCTTTTACCTTTTAAACCGTAAGTATGACCAGAAACAGATAAACAAGACTAGAAAGGGGCCATGGGAGAATTTCAGTACCTTTGCCCTTCTGAAAAGCTAGCCCACTGTTACAAACAACTTTGATCCATTTCCCTAGCACTGTCCATCCTCCACAATGGAAAAAATAGAATCCTATCCAATACTGCAGGATTATTACATTATTAGTAATACTATTATTAGCAGTATTATTAATATCTGTATTATTTGTACTAGTTAAATATATTATTAGTATTATTTCACTTAAGATAAGTAAAAGTATGTTTCTGAAGTCCCTCCACTATTTTACTTAATTTTCAGGTGAGCAGAAGTAATCTCAGTGCAAGCCAATTGGTTTTTTAAATTGCAACTTGAAAACAATAATCTGGTTGTACTTTTATTCCAGATTATTCTCAAACTGGATTGAACATGATTTGTGATCAGCTGGCTGCCTATGGGTGACTTCCTTGGTTATTCTCCAAATACAGGAAAACACCTGTATTATATTGGGGTAGAATTTTAAAAGCAGCTACTCATTATGCTTTCCTCCGCTGTGGGTGATCTGAGGTTTTTCTTGGGTGATTGTTCATTTCACAGTGCCTTGATAAATGACACAGTATAGAGAAAAAACCATAAAAACAAAAAAGCACACACACACAAAAAATTCCCCAAAATACCCTGAGCCATGCCATGCAAAATCATGAGACACCTGCAGAAATCTTGGGCTTAAGTTCCAACGTTGTTCTCACATTATCACGTTATACCAGCCTAGGGGAAGGAAGGTTGGAGGCATAAAAAGCGAGGCTCTTTTTTTGGGGAGGGAAATCTGTAACCTGCCATAGCTCAGCATAAGACTTTATGTGACATATCCCTTATCGGACATCCTTCAGTCCAGGCATCCCGAATCTCTCTCGCCAGCATCCCTGATGTGTCCTAAATGATCTTATGGCTTAATGGGTCTCAATCAGAAGTAAAAGAGAGATGCGCTTTCCTGTGTAGCCAGAGCAACATAGAGGAGAAAGTCATCTATAGGGCAAATCCACAGATTTGTACTCATGTTCTCCATGCCAGTATTTCAGCTTCCTGTTTAAAACATGAATGAAGAAGTGAATGTATTGGAAAGGCCAAAAGGACTTTAGCTCCATCTGTCTTTCCACACCAGTTATTCACCCAGCGGCTGGTCTGTGGTCCCAGTCATTTAACTGGGTAAGTAAGTGGGCACACCACCACCACCGTGGCTGTGGCCATCACGGCTTTACCCTTCCCACAGGAATGGGTTGGTCTCCACCCTGTCGGTCTCCACCCTGTCAATCTCCACCCTAAACCAGGGCTGCAGCTCAGAACAAGTCAGGAGGACTGGGCAAGGCAATTCAGGTGAGGGGAGAGGGATTGAAACTGTGAGCCAAATTAGGGGTACAATTCCTGGGCTTGCCAGAAGGGACATAAGGAGCAGGAAGGTTGGAAAAGGAGACTTTCAACTCATGTAACAAATAAGGAACCAGTAGTTACCCAGAGATTAGAGGATACTTTGTTTTACGTCTGCCCATATTAGTGACTTTGGAGAGGGAAAAAGGGGCAATTATGTTGTTGAAAAAATGCATGCATAAAGGACTCAAAGTAAATTATACTACACTAATGTGAGTATATAACACACAATAATCTCCACAAAATGAACACAGAAATGTATCTTGTGACTCCACAGAAGTGTGTGGTCTGTATTACATCAATTTTACTGGTCCCAAGGACTCAAAAATATATGTAAGTCAGTAAAAACTGCAAATGTATGGAAATTTTAAAGGATACACACTTTGATTTTCAGAATGTACATGCAGCAACATACTAAAGGCTTTTTTAAGAAGCCAGATCATTCCTTATGCTTTTTACAACAGATTTTTAGAAACTACTGAAGTTAAAAATAAGTCATAGAAAGGATGTGAGTATACAGTTCTTTGTTGTTTTGTTCTTCTGGGAGCTTCTGATGCTGAACTTTAGATGAGATTTTGTGCTCTATGGTCATTTGTGCTTAGAGACACAAGCAACTTCAACTTGGTTTTCTGCCATCCTTGCTCCAGCAAGAGTCTTGTAGCTCATTTCTGACATCAATCACTTGGAACATAAATCTCTGCAATGGATGTGGCCATTTAAATCTCCACCTGCACAAACAACAATTAGGCCTAGAAAATAAGGAGGCTCATAAATCTCAGCACTAGTGATTAGTAATATTTTGGATCTGCAACAAGGATGTTATAAAGAAAAAAGAAAAAAAAACCAACAACCCTGAAGTTAATTCATTAATTAGGACTGATATGCTGACAATGTTTACTTTATACACAGAGAAAACACAACAGGGCACAGTTAACATAACATGATGTTAGAAGTTAGTGAATTCGCAAAAGCCCAGGGCTTGGAGATATGGTATCTTAATGTACTTATCCTATTGTGAGTGGGAAGGTCTTATCTTCCAGCCAAATGGTAAAAAGCTGTTTTAAAGTTTAGATCTGCCGTTTTCCTTCTGGTGTATGTGAGCCAAGGAACCAAGATGGATCATGAGGTAGGAAAGATTTCCTTGCTAGTTATTTATATATATATATATATATCTTGGCAGACATACCAGTTTGGCCATCCCCAATTTTTGTTTGTTTGTTTTTTGTTTAGTGCATGCAGAAAATGTGATGTGATGCTCACATAAATCAGTAAGAGGCTTCCCTGTGACTCCAGTGATTAACTCCAAAGCTACTGCATGCCTTGATGACATCTCAGGCTGTACTTTTTTTTACCCAGAGCTATGTGAATCCTCAGGTAAGTAGCTGAATAGAATAAGTTGCTCCTGCAATCAGATGGGTTACCTTGTCCAGAAAGCTCCCGTTTACAAATTGTGCCCGTTCTTTAGTCCCCTGTGTTCCAAACCCAGGCTGCTGGGGGACCCACAAGGTTTCAGGAAGCATGTGAGGAGGAAATTAGCTATGGGAGCAGATTCACACTTCACTGGCCTCTTTGAGCTCCACATGTGGGTTTAGGGGAAGGTTTTACCTGGACAGGAAGAAGAGCTAGGCCAAGGTTAAATGCTTTTAAAAGCCTGTTCTGCAGAGACTAAATACATGTGTGCATAAAGATCACAACTGCAGTGATCTTTCTGCTCATTCAAACTACACAGCAACTCGCTCATTCACACTAGTGGTAACGTGACAAGTAATGTTTGGCCCCAGAGGTTGCAGAGTATGGCCAGATGCCCTCACTCTCACAGCTTCCACAGAAGGGGCCTTATCTTACCTCTTTATTCAGGCAAAACTCCCTGACTTTTGCACATGCATAAAGCTGCAGACAAAATGCTCCACGGGTGCCACAGAATAACATCTGCTCTGCAACACACTGAGAAAAGGACTTTTCTCTTTGTGAACTCTACCATCCCCCTTTTCCTTCATTTCAGCACACACCCTTGCTGCCCCATCCACAGCCATGCTGACCCTCCGCTGGTGGCAGCATGGTGCTTCTTCTTGGCTCGGTGGTGCTCAGCAGACCACAGAGATCTCGGCCACCCAGCACACCTGCAGCCTCTGGGATGATCACAGCTGGGGCAACTCAGAGACAGTGAAAGAGAACCGGGACTTGTGGGAGGTCACCCAGGGAGGTTGGAAGAAGTCACATCCTCCTGCCTCCAGCCCATGGGCTGTGACGGCAAGGTCCATGCTGCTGGCTGGGCGATGGAGCACTCCCTTCCTGGAATACACTAGTAGCTGGACAGGATGCGTTCGCAAATGTAATCATTCACAAATCTCCCCCAGATTAGGTTACAGGACAGCATTTCGACGGCACGCATTACAAAGCTCCCTGGAAGGCTTGGCTGGTGGATCTGCTGCTCTCTCTGCTCATGACCCATTTTGGCTTTCGTCAAGAATCATGACACCAGCTGCCTGGGTCATCTAGGAGGCAAGGAGGGGGAGAGCAACCCTGGGCTGGAAAGGGAAATGGGGAAGGAGCAGAGGAGGAGGAGGAAGGGGGAGGATAGAAAGACAGAGGAGGGGAGGAGAGAGGGAGAGAGTTGCTTTGCTCCAGTTGTGAAGATTTGAATCCCAGTTCTGAGCTCTCGGCAAAGGCTTGCTGGGATACCTCATTCCCTGTCCTGTGCAAAGGTCTGTGATTGGGGATGTGGTGTGCTCAGCGGGCAGGGCCCCTCCCCTGGGCTGGATCCGCCTCTCTTATCCCCCAGATAAATTACTAGTGTCCTCACTAAATTCCTCGGCTTTCTCTCTCTCACTCCCTCTCTCACACACACT